AACAACTCCGGGCAATTTAAGTGCCTCACTTAATTCTATGAAGTTTTGTACAGTTCGACAAAGCATCTTGATTTATTACACCTATTTAATTTTGAAAATAGATTATAAGCTAAACAAAGATTTCGTAAGAAATAAGCTTATCTAAATCTAATGGGGTACCCACCAAAAAAAACTCTCATGAAACAGTTGCAGGAAAAAAAAAACTTTTTTTCAACATAAAGAATTCAATAAAGGAAGGAACTTTACTCAAAATTGATAGTAGCAGAGTAGATCTAGAGCTCAGCTGTCGGTAGGCAGTTACTTGTACCACTTCTTTTTACAGTGAGCTCTCATCAGAGTTTTGGTTCCGCATGCCTCAAACCCATGGCCATAGTCACTTCTTCACAAGTCCCATTGCTGTTCTTTGCCAGGATCTCTGGGCTTCTAGTTGCAGTGCTGGTCCTTTTTTGGGCTTTGTCCTTCAAGTCCAGCTTCCTTCCTCGTCACTCTTCCTCCCAAGAAGACCAGGGCCTCATCTATGCAGTATGAACCTAATCCGCTCTTTCTCTTCACATTTCTTAATTTGTTCTGCGCTGAATGAAAACCCCAGAAAGATTCTGATTTCTGGAAGCTAAGCTTGGTGGGTTGTTCTTGTTTTTACAGGCTCTTCATCCTTTGTTCATGGTCATTGGCTTTATTCTCATTAGCGGAGAAGGTAGTGTAAGAATTAGCAGGGAGTTAAAAATTGAAGCAGACCCTTTAATTGATAAAAGGAAGTATTCTTATTACTTGGGTTTTTAGTTTTTTTATATTTTATTTTGTTTTCCCCAGCGATTCTGGTTCATAGGTGGTTGCCTGGTTCAAGGAGTTTGAAGAAATCAGTGCATTTGTGTCTTCAAGGCGTGGCCTTGGCTTCTGGGATCTTCGGGATTTGGACAAAGTTTCAAGGGAAAGATGGCATTGTGGCTAATTTCTATAGTCTGCATTCTTGGATGGGTTTGATCTGCATCCTCTTGTTTGGAGCTCAGGTTCTGTTCTTCATACTCTACTCATATTTTCTTTTGTTCAACTAATTACTGGGTTTAAGTCCAACTTTTGGAGTTCGGTGCAAGTGCCTTTATCTTTAGTAAGTTAATGACAAAAGTCTGTCATTTCAATATTATCATTCGTTAGTGCAGAGATGCTTAGTAAGCATGTAGTAGGCCATCAATGTGTATCAATCAATATAATTCATCAAATGAGTCCATAAAATAATTCAGCCAACGGGCCAGATGGAAGGCAAATGGCCCAGTAGTACTAATAATTTTGCCTTCCTTCTCCCCCCATCCAACCCAAATTAATAAATAAAATAACCCAAAAAGAAAAAGAAAAAAGAAAGTTGTGTTGTGAGGCAAGATAAGCTAATAATTTATGATGTTTATGAAGAAACAGTGACTGAGCTGATATTAGATTTCTAAATTGCAGTGGTTGATGGGTTTCCTGAGCTTCTGGCATCGAGGGGAAGTGCGCACAGTGAGGCTAAGGCTGTTGCCTTGGCACATATTCCTCGGACTCTACACTTATGGTTTGGCCGTGGCCACAGCAGAAACAGGGCTTTTGGAGAAATTGACGTTCTTGCAAACACAGAGGAATGTGTCTAAACACAGTCCAGAGTCCATGGTTGTAAATATTTTAGGTCTGGGGCTGGCATTGGTCAGCGGCATTGTAATATTGGCTGCAGTTTCACCCAAGTACCAAGCCCTTAAAACTAAACCCATTTACTCAACGCATACCAAAAAATGCTTGTCTTCCCAATAAATTTTGTTTGTTGTTTTGGTTTTTTTACTGTTCTTGTGATCTTTGTAATAATACAATCTGGGTTAATGTGATGTTATGTTAATTAACAAGAAAATAGACAAGGCTGGATGATGCTAATTATGTTTTCAGCCTTAAATATAAGGTGATCTTAAAAATAACCAATCACAGTTCAGCCTGAAAACATTTTGGGGGTTGGGAGAGAGGACAAAACGAATCTGGCATGGTTGACAAAAACCTTTTCAAGCAGGAAAATGGAAATGGCAAGCTCACCATTATAATTTATGTAGCAGCTGTTACAAAACACAGGAAACTAGTATTAGGTTGGTTTTCTTCTAGCAACTAGCTAGTGATGAATTTCCTCTTCTCATTTATGAAAAGGGTGGGAACTTACAATTTCTAACAA